AAAAAACACTTTCTCTAGCTCTTGTGTTCATCTTTACAGTTTTTTTGGGAGAAATGATACACATATTTGAGGTATTTGGCAGTCATTCTCATCTTTAGGACCCAACGGAGACATCAACCTGGTGTCGCATCCAGTCTTGGTGAAGGGATGTTGACTTTTTATTAATAACACTGTGCTTTCGCTTGCAAACCTAATTGTAACATAAATAAGAACATTAACACATAAATAGCTATTTAGGAAGTTGCTGGTTAAGTGGAGAATCATTATTGTAGTAGCTATTATTACAATTAAAATTAATGTATTAATAATCAATTAATAATAATTAATGATTTATTAATTGTAATGCTTTTTAAAATAAGTTCCCAAGTGCTCCCAATAACACATTTTTAAACATAATAGTTTCTTTTGTCTTTGCCATGATGATAGTACATAATATTTTGCTAGTTATTTTGCAAGATATTGGAATTCAGCTTATAGGTAAAAGAAATGTAAAGGCTTGACTAGACTAATTAGATTAATTAGACAGGTTTGGTTATTTAGGCAAGTGATTGGACAACAGTTGTTTGTTCTACAACCACTCAACTAATAAATTCTTAGGAGTGATAATAATATTGACCTATTATTTATTCCAGCCTAACTAAAAGTAATACTTTCTCCAGAAGAAAGGAATATTATAGACAATACTGCACTAATTTTCTACATCTATTTATCATCACTTGAAAAAATAAAGTTTCATGGGAGGGGTAATAATTTTGCCTTTAACACTGTATGTTTGATATCATTTAACTAGATCATCATAGTCTGAGAACTAGAGAATCATAGTCTGTTGGTTAAAATGCCTGTGTCCACTACAATTTAAAAAAGAAAAAAAAAGTTGAACTCAAAATTGTAAGGCAACTTGCTGCAGAGCTTTTGACTCAACTTTCAACCCAAGTTCTACGCTTGACTCGATTAAAGTTGAGTGTAATTAGTGGCAAAAATTCCAGTCCGCACTTTCAACAACAACCAACTCCTACAAACTGCAAGCTGACAAAAAAATCAGGGAAAGGTCTATACACTTATGTTATTCCACTGTCTTTTGTTTTTGTCACTAATTCATTCATTCATTCATTTGTTTTCTTTTCGGCTTAGTCCCTTTATTAATCAGGGGTTGCCACAACGGAATTCCATCCCTGGGAAACATCCATACACACCCATTCACCCATACACTACGGACAATTTAGCCTACCTAATTCACCTGTATTGCATGTCTTTGGACTGTGGGGGAAACCGGAGCACCCAGAGAAAACCCACGCTAATGCAGGGAGAACATGCAAACTCCAGACAGATGCGCCAACTGACCCAGCAGAGGCTCGAACTAGCAACCTTCTTGCTGTGTGGCAAGAGCACTACCTGCTGCACCACTGCATGGCCCTTACAAATTCATTTATACCCAAAATTGCATTGTATGTGAATGGCCTCTAACTGCTATGATGCTGTAGATCTAAACTGCTTATATGTGCATCTTCATGTGGCTGGACTGAACACAATGTCCATTTTAAAAGCACCAACTCCTCAATATCCTTTTGCCATGCTCAGGGAATTCCTAACTTGTTTAAAACCCTCCTTCCAAACAATTCTTTTAGCCTTGTCAAAACACCCCCACTCTTTCTCGCCTTGTCTGTTTGTCTCCCACTCTCACTCATCGCTCAGATACTCCCATCTGTGGAATGCAGAGAGCTGCTCCTCTGTCTCCCAGAGCAAAGGTCACAGCATTGGCCCTTGTTATTTCCTCTAAACGTCAGTTAGCCAAGCATCATCCTAATGTATTCCTTTAAGTCAGAAGAAAGCTTTTATGGTGTGGATGCAGTGCACAATTGTTCAATTTCAGCATTATTTCTAGAAAAAAAGGAATATCTACTAGTTGTTTACATAAACAACTAGACTTTCAAATTATGTGCCGTACTTCTGGTTTGGGAATATTGCATTCAAAGGAACTGAACCAAACAATTTCACTTAATAACGTTGGCCTAGAAATAAATCCATATACAAAATGAAAACTGGGCAGGAGGTATTGTGTTTTACTTGTATTTGTCATGAACGTTATATTATGCTTGGTATTTGAATTTAACATTGCATTACAAGGATATTTGTGGCCAAAGCTTATATTATTTAAATTCTTTGCTTCTCCAGTATTATCTACAGCAGGGGTTCCCAAACTTTTTAGCCCACGACCCCCAGAAAAACAATGCCATTGACTCGCGACCCTCAATATGCTCTGAGGTGGTTATTGGCATGCAATGGCGTGCACACACAAATAGACCCAAGTCTATTCTTCGTTTAATTTTTTAATGTATGTGAGTGCTGTAAATGGGCCAGAAAGTTTAACGTGGTGTTGTAAAATCAATCTGCTGCATCTGACGCTATTGCTGTGTCTTTAATATAATGTAATTACCCCAGGGGTCGCAATCCAATAGAACTAGTAGCTATAAGATACTATAGTAACTATATAGTATACAGTAACTATAAACATCTATTTTTTTTCTCTTCAGTACGTGGATAAAATAAGGTAATTATGGTTTGTTAAAAATAGATTTTTGGAAATCACAAGGCAATCCCCCTTCATTGTCCTCCACTTTGAGAACCACTGATCTACAGTACAGTAAAACTCAACCTGTAATGTTGCTTTAGAAAACTGAGATTTTTTTTATTTTTATTTTGATCTCCTGAAAGTACATTGTTAATTATAATATGCTGCCTTTATACTTGATGCGTGAACTGAGGGGAGAATAATGACGCATACTTAGTACCCAGTTTGTTCTTCACAAATTTTTTTTTGCCACTTATCGTAAATTACACCCATGTGGCAGAGAAAAAATGGTGAACCAAGATGTAAGATTGAGACGACTATAGATATGCAGAAATGAGTTTAGAAGAACAGATAATAGGGAGTTTTCTCAGTATGGAGTTAAATATCCCATAATAATATTTCTAAAGTGACTCATGGGAGCTGTCTTGGAAGACGAAGTGCTGACTTGAAAGCATGTGTTCTGTGTGATGATGGATTATAGCAAAACAAATAATAACTTAAAACTCATTTGGCCCGGTTTCAACAGCGTTTGATCATAAAGTGACGCTGTGTTGCTCTGTAACTAATCTACTTGAAAACCTGATTCTCGGATATGGAAAACTGCACTGCACATGATTAAAACAGCTGTGCTGTCATGCTATGAGTTATAATCTCTTTAATTTGGGGTATTTATCTTGTAGATGTGTATACATGCTTATGTTATAATACAATAGAAATATGATAAGTTAATAGACCACTTAAAAATTCTACATTTTAAACTAAAATTCCACATTTGTACATTTTTTATATCTACCTTCTAAATGTACAATTTATAGTCAAGTGTGTCAGTAAAACCATTGTTTGTTTTATTCTGCAGCCTTAAAAAAATCTAAATTATGATATTTTTTTTGCCATCAGATCTTTATAGAACTTGATTTTTTATCTGCATATGGAACTGGAAATGGATTTTACAAATACTAAATTATGTTAATGAGAAAAAATCCAATGCTTTACATGGGTTTAGTTTTAGTGGATAGATATAAATGGATTCTGTGAAATAACAAACACCACATTTACTTAAACAGGCCTTCCTTTCACTTATATTGCATTCATGTAACATTTTGAAATTTAAGATTTTCTGGTAAACATTTTATATAATTTAGTGTTCTGTGGAGGAAATACAATTATATAATCATACTCCAGGACAAAATCTTTTTTTTTTTTTTTTTACACAAAAGCAATTTGTCCAGTAAAATTATATACACTTTAAAAAATGCTGGGTTCCACACAATTACTTCATGTTGTCTCAACACAAATCGATTCAGTTAACTTAATCGTTTTCACAAATTTAAGTTGATTGAACATAATACAGGCTGCACGGTGGCGCAGTGGGTAGCACTTTTGCATCACAGCAAGGTCAGTTGCCGTTTTTGTGTGGAGTTTGCATCTTATCCCTGTGTTGTGCTCCGGTTTCACCCACAAGTCTAAAAACATGCTATGGCTGAATAGGGTAGGCTAATAAGTTGAATGCTGGATAAGCTGGCGGTTCATTCTGCTAGGCGACCCCAGATTAATAAAGGGACTAGGCTGAAAAGAAAATGAATGAACATAAAACAATTAAGTTGTCCCACAAAACTTCCCAATAATTGTGTTGATTCAGCTCATACATTTTGTTGTTTAAAGTTGTTTGAACAAACAGCAAAATATTTTTAAAGTGCTGCATAAAATATAAACAACTGAAGAGAGATTACATGCTCTTTTAAAATGTAAAGCTATGATTTGTATTGTCAAATGATTTAAAATGACTTGCTTATCAAAGTTTCTTCTATCCCTGCATTGAAACTTTGATCTTTCTGTCTACTACAGCACTAAGCTACTACAGCACATCTGCAGAAAAAAATGCAGAACTTTCTACCAAAGGTTTGAACGCGTTTAATTTTGCATTTTCTCCAGGAGGCGGCACAGCAGTCGTTTATAATGGAAAAATCGCTCCAGGCTGACGATGTGATGAAAGTCCCATTACTTTCTTGCATTCTCTCGCTCTTCTTTTCTCTTCTTTTCTCCAGCGGGAAGCGTCTCTTCTCTCCTCCTCCACACATCACATCCGGCTCACTTTCCCGAGCAGTTTGGTTTCAGTGCAGCGCTATGAAGTCCGACTCGTGTGAAGGAATCTATTCCAGCGCACAGCCCATTTTAGTGACTTGACTCAGTGATTCTTTGATTTGCCGCCCAAGTGTTAACTTCACAGAAGGCTTGTTGTGGTATTTAAAAGTCTAGAATGTGTACATTAACTCTATCTACTGATGAACCTGCATTCATGTTGTGGCGTTTTTAAAGAAACACTGAAGTTTATCACTATATTTCACGTATTTGGTGTAACTTTAGTCATGTTTAGCGTTATTTGAGGCGTTTTACTCTGAATGATTCACAAACCGTAATTGGCTCGAACGAATCACCGAAAAGAACCGGCTCGTAAAAACGGTTCATACGCGAATCGGACATCACTGTTACAGTGAGAGGAGCAGTTTTAAGAGGCTGCCGTAGAGGATCTACTGCTGATATGGAGACTCTAACCATATGACCGTGCAACTTTAGTGAAGCGACTGAACGGACAAGGCGCTTTTATGGCTGCAGTCTTGTCAACAACTTCAAACATGTCCAAAAGCCTGAAGAAGAAAAGTCACTGGACTAACAGAGTCCATGAGGTTGTGTTGTCCAGGGGTCCGAGTGGGGATCTAGGGTTCGAGCTGCAGGGAGGCGCGGAGAACGGACAGTTCCCCGTTATTGGAGAGGTAAAACCGGACAGGCGCAAACTGCAGCAGGACGAGCTGCTTTTGGAGGTTAACGATACTCCAGTGGCCGGACTGACCATCAGGGATGTTTGGGCTGTGGTCAGGCACTGCAAAGACCCTGTTCGGTTCAAGTGTGTCAAACAAGGTCAGTTTAACTGTCATTTAACATATAAAGTTTGTTTAAAGTGACAAATTATCTATCTATCTATCTATCTATCTATCTATCTATCTATCTATCTATCTATCTATCTATCTATCTATCTATCTATCTATCTATCTATCTATCTATCTATCTATCTATCTATCTATCTATCAACATTAAAGCTACGAGAACCTAGTATAATGATATGGACTATATGCGCTCATGGCGAACCTAGTGCGCATCTGTATTGTACACTTGTTTATGTACGTATTTTGAAGTGAGCACGGGGTTTCACATCTATTATGCATCAGATTGCATAGCATACGACGAAAGTACTAGTGTTGGTTAAAGTTGTTACTCCCGCGTGAAACTTGTTAGTTTGTTGCTATAGAAGCAGAGTTGGTGAATGGCAAGCCATTTTAACATTTAACATAAACCACACTGGCACATTTTCATGCTAGTATATGTGTGTCAGTGTGTGTTTGTGTGTCAGTGTGTGTTTAGTCATGATTTGAAATGATCAAAACCTTTCAAAGTTGTACAAAAACTATTGCACATTGTGATAATGCTGTTAAACTTATATTTTGCTTAGCCCTAGTTGGATCGTGTTCTAGTGAAAGCTGATTAGTTGAAATCTGAATGACAAATGTCAAGAAAAAAAAAAGATTTTGGTTACAATTTATTTTTTTAAGGTGACTTTGTGCAGAGTCACTAGTAATGTAATAACTGGGTATTATTAATTACCATGTACTTACGAATAGGGTTAGAATTCTGGTTAGGTTTAGGGTTAGTTACATGTAATTTGGTATAGGAGGATAACCGGTTTCAAGGTATAATGCGGTTTGGAAAATTCAAGGTTTTAAAACCGCCAAAGTTGTCTGTTACCATTTCTAAGTTATTTGTACGATTTATTTGTTTGTTTGTTTTTTACATGTTTTTCACAACTATAGGGCAACCGTATCTTTAGCTGAAAAGGAACATCAAAAGCTACTGGTCCAAAATATTTTAAATGCTTCTTAAAATACCAAAACATTTAAAAAGAACTTATTTTGGAGCAGTAAACACAATACCGTGAAACTGTGATATTTTTATGCAAGGTTATCATAACATCAGATTCTTATACTGGCCGATGCCTACATATAATTATGCAAAATTAACTGTATTTACTATACACTGTAAAAAATTTCCAGGTTTTCACAACAAGTTACTGTAATTTTTCACAGTAAATTACATTAGTATCCCTTCACAGTATTTAACTGAAAAATTCACAGTAATATGTTGTATTCATAATTTTATTGTGAAATTACGGCAGGTAGCATGATTACAGCAAATTACTGTGAAAAGGGCTATATCTTTTGCACGTTAAAGAAATTCAAACCTTTTTTAAACTCAACGTAGAAATTAATACAAATGAACTTTTAACAGATAATAACAGAATGTTATAGCCCCCAAAACAATTTGGTTACCAACATCTTTTTCATTGTACTGCACCTTTATTTAATTTTATACAGTTAACATAGAATAGGAAATAATATTTAATGAACATAACTGTGTGCTTAGCCAAAACATAATAAACTGGAATAAAAAGTAATTAATTAATGAAACCAAAGACTGTTAAACAGCCAACAATTATTTCAATGTCAGGGTAAATGTCTGCTTTAGACGGTTTCATGAGTATTGGGCACCTGTCATCGCCTGGAGGTCACTAATCTCAGAATTAAATATATATATATATATAAATTATTATTTTTTTATCTATATAAATAAACCACAGATTAGAGTTTTAAACAACTACATTCTAGCATGAAAAACAGTTAAAACTTCATTTTCGGACGCATATAGAGCCATCGAAGACGGGGCAATTGTCCCAATGTCTAGCCTGAAGACAGGCGCCTCTCGGCGGATAAATGAGTAATGAGCGCCGTTACCGCCTGGAGGTCATAGATCTCCGCCACCGGCAAAACACACTTAAAATTACACACAATCTTTACTAACAGTCCACAGATTTGAGTTTTGAAGAACTACATTCTCGCATGAAAAAGTGTTAAAACTTTATTTCATTACATATTACAAGCAATATTTATAATATTATGTGCCTTCTCATCCACCATTACAGCTTGATGCAGCTTGGTGCGAAATGAATCCTGGGAGGAAAAAATGATAATTCTCAATACACTCCAAACGAACTTTATTCTTATTGTTAAAGTCAGAGATATGTAATATTTTGAATGGCGAAGAAAATAATTAACTTAATATTTCAATCAATATATTACTCTTGCACTGCTTCGGTTCAGGACTCGTGTGACATTGAATCAGATTCAGATATTTTATCAGACGTGTTCATGAGCTCGAAGTCATCAACAAGCAATTCGTGTACAAGCAGTACACGAACCACGCAATATGATGAAATATTAATGAATTATATGTTTGCGTCTTACAATATTATACAAAACGGAATCGTTTTCAGGCAAATTCGAATCTTTACTGTGCACTTATAGGAGCCGAATTCGACTCTTTACTGTTCACTTAAAGGAGCCGATTCATTGAACAGAACTGACTCGACTCGACCGCAAACAAGCGCCATCACCACAGACAACGCCGTCGTCTCTTCACCCAACGGATTCATCCTCGGTAAGTGTTAAAATATGACTTTTGTCCGTTAAATGATTGTTGTATGTGTATTTCTGTATAGTGCATGTCATTTAACAGGAATTTACCGAGTACTTTAGTTGTACTCGCACGGACAGGGTTTAAGCGCGCCTTTTTTTAAAGCAAGAAATTAACGACGCCAGATGGTGATTGTAATGTTAGTGTTTTCTGAGGTATTAGCATAACGTTAACGTTAGTTCCTGAAAAAAGAAAGGGACTTTTCTTTAATTAACTTCTTGTTAACTGCATTTTCTGTTTCAGTACAAGACTGAAGTAAAGGTGAAATGACTATAACGTTAAGGTAAGCTCTGACCTTCACTTAAGTTAACGTTACGGTTAGTGACCATCATGTATGTTAATTTTGTTCACTGTAACGTTAACGTTAAGTTAGTTAAATAAACTAAACTCATTATGAAACAAGTCTTAACTGTTTTATTAAATGAGGCTTATAATACAATTCAGTTGTATTCTTTTAAACTAACACTAACACAGTACATATTGTATATTTCTCACTGGTGTTAATGCAGTGCTAACATTTACTAATGAGAACTAATTTTATATTGTAACTAACTGTAGATTTTATTTTTTGGTGTTCAGGTGTACCTGATAATAGCTAAAGTGTGAGGTGATTGTAAATTCTGAGCACACAAATATAACCTAAATTCATTATCACAATCTAAACATATATATATATATATATATATATATATATATATATATATATATATATATATATATATATATATATATATATATATATATGAGTGTGTGCGTGTGTTAGGTTGAGTGTCATTCTACTCTTATTATATTCAATTTTTTTTGCAGCCACAGCCATTGATGTTGAAAAACTGATGCTACCAATCAACCCTCGCTTGATTATTAAAGGTAATGTTGATGCCTTCCTCATTTTTATTAGATTTTTAAATGTCAGGTTTTTCACAGATTTGTTGTGAGCAGTTTCTTGTACAAACTCTTTTTCTTCTTCCAGAAGTTCCACCAGTACCTCCAGTAGTAGTAAATATTAGACAAAGGGTCGAGTGGTCATGGGACCTCACCTGGATTTCACAACTGACTTTGGATCTGGTCTGAAACTGAAGTATGCTGAAGTTGCCTTTTGCACTCTGGAATTTAAGGTAATGTCTACAATAAATATTGTAACTGAGGGCTTGTTTTGGGGGGGGTTAAACAAGGAATGTATAGGAGCACAAGTCATGACTCCCCTTGTCCCCTTGTTATAAAGGGCCGTGTTGCAGACACAAATTGTTTGTCTGTGCTGGAGACCAGAGGGGAAGCTGTCTTTAAAAGGATGGGGCTCTTATACCATATGTGAAGTTACCTATTTAGGTGAGTGGATTACATGCAAGTCATTGCAAATGCATAAATAGTGGGAAATTTTTACTGGGCAGCACAAATTAAGTGAAACTCAAAAAACGTTGAAAAATATTTGGAATATTTGCAAAAAACTTGATTAAAATGAATACAACACAAGTGCTGTATCACTTCAATCAAGTTTTTTTTGCAAAATTTTCCTAATATTCAAATCATGAAAAATTAGCTTGATGCAAGAAACATACTGCTAGTATTCAAGAGCAAGTGCTGTGATGCATGTGTCAACTTTGCAATAAGTGTGAACCCAGCATTAGATTATAGTCTGTAAACAGAAGGTGTAAATCAAATCAACTGTTTTAAAATGCTCTGCCTAGGTCATTAAAACCACTATTTGTTGTTGGACTGTTCTTGATTGTGTGTTTGTGATGGAAATGTTTTTCAGATGTTTTTGTTTAAATGATTGCAGTTTGACTGAGCTACAGTATTGTCAGCATGTTCAAACTAAGCTAACAGTAATTTTGCTCTCTAGTGCAGCAGTAGTGTCCCAGTAGTGTTGTATGAAGCTAACTGTTTGTCTGCCCTTTTGCTTATAGGTGCTTTTTGGGCACCAGTTTGGAGATGGAAGACAGACGAAGTCAAAGAAGCAGAGAAGACACATCAACCAGCAAGTGTGTAAAATTATCAGGAAAATGATTGAGCTTGAATAGACGACTGCCTAATTTAGCAAGAAGTTTTGTCTCTCTCTCTCATGTGTATATATATATATATATATATATATATATAATTAGAGAGAGAGAGAGCGCGCTCTGAAGCACTGCTTTTTATATGTATGCTACATATGATGTCAGATTTTTTTATTAATATGTTCTTATAGTATTTTTTGAGGCTTCACCTTCACCTTTTGAAAGTTTTCTGAAATGTTTACACAGATGTCATTAAGCTGTTAAATAAATCTGTAAAATGTATGTGTGTTTGTTTTTATTTTGATTTTAGAGTCTTCTCAGATCACCCAAAAATGAAGATTC